ATGTTCTGTCGGTGTCTCAAGCTAACCTAATGGACTTATGCTCCACAATCTATGGCAGAGAAACATAATTAGTCACATCACAGTCACTGAGCCAAAGCTTCCCATCATCTGGCTCTCAATAGATTATAGGTGCACCCCTCTCCATCTAGCTCTCAATGGATTACAGGTGCACCCCTATGGACATATTCCAACACAAGTACATGGGTCCTCTCAAAGCACATGTGCATTGGCTTTTCCAAACTCGAATAATGGATTTGGAAGAGTGGCTTCCCATGCGAATGTTAGTACATATGTTATAGAATGGTCTTGTGTCAGAATACAGACTTATGTCTCATAAGTTATGACCATTCCATACATGGTTGTTACTCATAAAAATACTCGGGTTCTATCGTACTCGATGGGATACTCCAAGCCCTGGTTAATTAGGGCAATCATGAGGCTACTATAAACAAGATCCTAACTAGGAGGTGACCCTCATACCTCCTTGAAAAATTGCTTTCTCGAACGCAAAACACTCACAGCCTCAAGTACTCGAGATATAAGAATATGAACCCCGTTTCGCAAAGCACCCATATTCTATTTCTCAATCACTCCCACTGAATGAGAGACTTTTGGAATTTAGCCATTGAAAGGTCATATTTCCAACATTAAATAAGGATACAGTTTCCATGTGGCCAGCCAGCATATTGTAGATATGTGGGCTTGGTAATAAATATATATTGTCAAACATAATTTTATCCTAATTTTTAGATTACATATAATCTTTAACATGGAGATCATAAATATGAAAAAATAATAATTGAAAACTAGAAATAATAATAATATTAAGAAAATATTTAGACTATTAGTCACAATTATTTTTAGATGGGCCACCTATCCAACTTTAAGATGGATGCTTTATACCTCTAGGGCATATAATGTAGAAATACAGTTCAACCCGCATAAAATAATTTTCCATTAAATAATAGAATACAAATTTTTATTCTTATATTAGAAGAAATATTCTAATAGTTAAACATTTCTATCTATTGCATGTTTCATCATAGAAAAGTATTTTATTATATTAAATTATATTATATATTAATTAAATTCTATTATATTAAATAAATAATCATTATTATTATTTATAATATTTTTAATATCATACAATTTAGGAAGTTGAGCTGTCCGATATTATAAACACCGAACAACATGTCGTCTGATATTGTTAATACTTGATAGGCCTTGATTAAGAAAAAAGGCCAAAATTTGTAAGATTTTTTATCTGTTGAAGTGTTGGAAATGTGAGACAGATGGGTAGCCATAAAAAAAATCTCCAGAAAAATAAGACCCATACGGTAACAAAGGCATTGAGATGACATCCATTCGTAAATTTTCCTTTAGTTGGTTAAGGTTGTGTGCCTACGTCGCCCCTAACGTACACTTAGGGACTGAAGGAAATGCTCCTGCGAGAGCATAAAATATTGGGAAAATTACAAAACCCCAAGACTACACTTTTTATGCAACTTACCCATGCCTCTCTCTCCTCTATCCCACCAAACTAGGAGCCCCGGCACTGTGTAATGGTCCAGCAGTAGGGCTCCAGCACTATGTAAAGTACGGTCCAAAAGTAGGGTTTAACACTGTGTAAAGTGCAGTTCGGCAGTAGGGTCCGACACTGTGTAAAGTGCGATCCAGTAATAAGGCTCTGGCACTGTGTAAAGTGTGGTCCGACAGTTGTAAAGGGCTGTCTGGCAGTTGCAAAGGGCAATTCGGCAGTAGATGTTACTGGATTCCAAGAATCTGATACTATGTAAAGGGTGGTTCGACAATATTTAGTTTTAGTCCGGTAATTGTCTTAAGGCGGTCCGACACTTGTGTGCTCCAGCAATATGATGGTGTGCTTCGACAATGTGCTACTGGATCCAAAAGTCAACTTTAAATCTAGCCAAAATGGTTTATGTGTATATGAAGGGCATTTATGTTTAAAAAGATGAGGTTTTTCTATCCATAATTTAAAATTTGAAATTGTCGATATAAAAATGTCGAGATAATTTCTCTCTCTAAATTTTTTGGTGCTTTACTCTCTCTAAAATTTAATATAGTTTATCCTTCTAAAATTTTAAGATAATCTCTCTCTAAAATTTAAAACTTGGGATAGTTCCCCTCGTCAATAATTTTGAGATAGTTTATCTCTCTAAACATTTTTAAGTAGTTTCACTATCTAAAATATGACATAGTTGTTCTATCAAATTTTAAGATACTTTCACTTTCTAAAAGCTAAAATTTACGATAATTTCTCTCTAAAAATTTTGCGATGGTTTCTTTTTCTAAAAAAATTCAAGTACTTTCTCTCTCTAAAATTTGATATAGTTACTCTCTTAAATTTTAAGATTTAAGTAGTTTCACTCTCTAAAATATGATATAGTTGTTCTCTCAAATTTTAAAATACTTTCTCTTTCTAAAAGCTAAACTTTGAGATAATTTCTCTCTAACCATTTTGCGATGGTTTCTTTTTCTAAAACTTTCTATGTACTTTCTCTCTCTAAAATTAGATAGTTATTCTCTTAAATTTTAAGATGTTTTCTCTCTCTAAAACTTCAAATTTCAGATAGTTTCTCTCTCTAAAATTTTGAAATAGTTACTCTTTTTAAAATTTGTTAGTGTCTCTCAAAAGTTTAGTATACTTTATCTCTAAAGTTAAAAATTTGACATACTTTCTCTCTCTAAAACTTAAATTTTGAGATAGTTTCTCTAACTAAAATTTGGAAATAGTTTCCCTATTTAAAATTTGATATAGTGTCTCTCTAAAATTTGATATACTTTCACTCTAAAGTTTAAAATTTGAGATACTTTTTATCTCTAAAACTTAAAATTTGAGATAGTTTCTCTCTAAAATTTTTTGAGATAATTTCTCTCTCTAAAAATTTCATGTACTTTCTTTATCTAAAACTTGATATAGTTATCTTTCCAAAATTTTAAAATAGTTTCTCTCTTTAAAACATAAATTTTGCGATAGTTTTTCTCTCCAAAAATTTTGTGATAGTTTCTATCACTAAAAGTTTTTAGGTAGTTTTTCTCTCTAAAATTTGATATAATTTTTATCTTAAAAATTTTAATATATTTTTTCTCTCCAAAATTCCAAATTTGAGATAGTTTCTCTCTAAAACTTAAACTTCGAGATAGTTTCTCTCTCTAAAAAATGAGATATTTATCTATCTAAATTTTTTTTGGTAGTTTCCCTTTCTAGAATTTATAATAATTTCTCTCGAAAAGTTTAAGAATAGTTTCTCTCTCTACAATTTTAAGAATACTTGCTCTATCTAAAACTTTAGATATGATGTAGTTTTTCTCCCTCTAAATATTAAAATATGAGATTGTTTCTCTCTAAAAGTTTTGAAATAGTTTCTCTCTCCAAAAAATTGAGATAGTTTATCTCTCTAAAAATTTACATGTACTTTCTCTCTCTAAAATATGACAGTTTCTATTTAAAACTTCAATTTTGAGATAGTTTCTCTCTCTAAAATTTTGAAATAGTTTCTCTTTTTAAAATTTTATATAGTGCCTCTCTAAAATTTGATATACTTTCTCTCTAAAGTTTAAAATTTGAGATACTTTCTCTCTCTAAAACATAAAATTTTAGTTAGTTTCTGTCTAAATTATTTTGAGATAGTTTCTATCTCTAAAATTTTCATGTACGTTTTTTATCTTAAATTTCATATAGTCATCTTTCCAAAATTTTAAAATACTTTCTCTCTCTAAAACTTAAATTTTGTGATAATTTTTCTCTCCAAAACTTTTGAGATAGTTTCCATCTCTAAAAGTTTTATGTAGTTTCTCTCTCTAAAATTTGATATTCTTAAAAATTTTAATATATTTTCTCTATCTAAAATTCCAAATTTGAGATAGTTTCTCTCTAAAACTCAAACTTCGAGATAGTTCTCTCTCTAAAAAAAGTGATATTTCTCTCTCTAAATTTTTTTTAGCAGCTTCTCTTTCTAGAATTTATAATAATCTATCTAAAAGTTTAAGAATATTTTCTCTCTCTACAATTTTAAAAATACTTTCTCTCTCTAAAACTTATGATTTGATATAATTTTTTTCTCTCTAAAAATTAAAATATGAAATTGTTTTTCTCTCTAAAGTTCTGAAATAGGTTTTTTCTCTAAAAAATTTAGATAGTTTCTCTTTCTAAAAATTTACATGCATTTTCTCTCTCTAAAATATGATAGTTTCTCTTTAAAACTTAAATTTTAATATAGTTTCTTTCTCTAAAATTTTGAGATAGTTTATCTCTCTAAAGTTTTTTGGTACTTTCTCTATCTAAAATTTTAACATACTTTCTTTCTCCAAAAGTTAAAATTTGAGATAATTTATCTTGTTAAAATTTTGATATAGTTCATCTCTCTAAAAGATTTGGTAATTTTTCTCTCTAAAATTTTAACATACTTTCTCTCTCTAAAAGTTAAAATTTGAGATAGGTTTTTTTATAAAATTTTGAGATAGTTCATCTCTCTAAAAAAAAATTGATACTTTCTCTCTCTAAAATTTTAATATATTTTTTCTTTCTAAAATTTTAACATACATTCACTTTCTAAACTTTTAATATACTTTCTCTCTTTAAAGTTTAAATTTGAGATAATTCTTCCTTTTATAAATTTTGAAATAGTTTCTCTTTAAAAAATTTAAGTACTTTCTCTCTTTAAAATTTTCATACCTACCAAATACTCCTTATATTTCAGATCGAGGGAGCCAATGAGTGAAATCCATGGGCTTTGGAAATGCCGAAAAATAAGTTTTGGTATGAAAATAAAATCATATAAAAGTAGGTTGTATTTTGATTTTCCTGATTTTAAGTGCAAACGGTGGATTTTGACAAAAACAGCTTTTCGTATAGAAATAAAATTTTAAAAAAGTAGGTCTTATTTTGATTTTCTTGATTTTAAGTGCAAGTGGATTTTGGCAAAATCTCAGATATTAAGAATCCATGCCTTAAAATCCATGTACCCAAACAGGCCCTAATCTCTTTTGCTCGTACTGATAAAAGCGCTTTCCCCTCGCGCCATTACCCCTTTTTTCGGCCTTGGCAGGGCAATGTGGTGGCAGAGGATTGATTTCAACTCCATCACCGCCTCTTCTTTCCCTCTCTAATCTCCTTCACATACATATGAGCTTCTAGAGAGAGACCCCTTTCCTCAGACTTTCCCAGAAGATAGAGTGGCATGACGGACCCTTTCTCTCATCAGCAGCAGTCGCATGTGTACTGCGCGAAGAATATGGACCCCACCGCCCATCACCTCCTCATGAGAGACTCCCTCCCTCCTCCCAGGCTTCCTCCACCTGCTGTTAAATGGTTCAAGGAATGGTACTACTCTCTCTCTATCTTTCCTTTGGTTCTAGGGTTTTTCTCTTTTTCAATTCAGTCACTGTGTCTATCCATTCTATTCTGCTACACATGTTTGCATGTCAATATCAGAGATTTTCGCTGCTTGTTGTTTACAGCGTGTTTTAGTGGCGTGTATGTGTCGAAATTCCATGCACGGGGCTGTGATTCTATTACCTTACTGATTTCGAGTCGGATTCTTTTGTGGGTGATGTCTATTTTCTGAATTGTTGTTTATTTTCTGAGTCATTGGTACTAATGAACTCTGATTATATCACGGTTCTTTCTCACTTCCTTCCTGTCATCATTGATGTAATTGTGCGCTTTTATCTTTTTTGTCCGTCAAATACATAGCATTTAGTTATCTATGGGTTGATGCTTGTTCAGGTTAAGAATATGTCGACTGTTGATCGCTTAGAAGTTATTATATATCTCTGATTGAACAAGGGTAACATATACATTTCTTGTGTTATCCAGATTTGCTTCCATTTAACTATCACATGTTCCTTTTCAGTTTTGAAGCTGGCACCTGGAATATACAATCAAACAATGGGTGTAAAAGAATCAATGTGTGACTAACTAATGACTTGGTTGCGAAGGACATGATAGTGGAAGAGTAAATTTGCTTTGCTGCACTGTTTTTAGTGGCTGCTCATTCAACGGCATCACTAATTTACACTTGTGTCTCTGGTTTTTGGCACCAACCTCCCCCAATACAATGCTTGTAAGATGCATTAGTTTTATTTCCAAATTAGATATGGCATGAAGGATACACTTCCTCATAAAAACGATTGTAGCATGTAATGGACTGGAAACCATGAAACCATTAGGTCTACCTAGCATCTGGACATCGTATATTGTCAAAGAAAAGAGTTCCCATATGAAGGACTGGGGAGAGAAAGAGAGTTTCCATATGACAAGGAGAGATTAGAAATGGCGAGAAAGAAGTCCTAAATCGCCATAGGAAAGGGCAGAGAGGAAGACGAGGGAGAAGTCCTTTCGCAAGAATGAAAATTTGAGGTGGGGACTTTATGGGAAAGAAAAGCAATGCATTGGAGAAACCATGAGTTGTGTGTCTCATTTCGTTCAACATCCACATTTCAACTTTTGACTGGCCCGTCACTGACAAACATGCATACACAAGATGCCTTCTCCTAACTTGTTCAGAGTGAATAAATGGACACAATGGCATGAACATCCATCTCCTGGTGAGAGAGGGTTTTCAAGTGGCTATATGTTTTATTTTTTTAGTTTTACTCAAAGCTATATGTCCTTAAGTCTGGAAATCAAATGCTAAGATTTTTTTGCAGCCTTGTGTAAGTGAATCACGTGGTTGGAATAGTTTGCAAAGTGCAATGCCTGAGGATTAGCAATAGATGGTCCTCTCAGTTGACGGATGGCTGCAACTTTCAAGTCTGTTTGGGAGGATTGCGAGAAGTTGTTGCTAGTAGTTTTGAGTTTTAATATGAAGAAGGCCAGTCAGTGACTGTTGGTCGTATTTCTTATCATGACATTCACCAGATCATCCTTGAAAGAGTTCACTTAGCTGTAGAGATATGTCGATGTTGATTAACATCATATTGGATGAGCTTAGGATGTGTGGAAAGTCTTTGGAGTCCTTTAATTTTGCTACTGGCTAAACAATGCAGCCTGTGGAGTTGTATCTGAGTTTAGGGATGATATGGTTCTTGAGGCAATCAGGGTTGGTCATGGGTTACAGTGGCTGTTGAAGTTCATACTATGTTGCCTCGGGTGGATATCGATCATGTTACTTACCTAGTTGGGGAAGAGATTGTTGGTTTCATAGACTGGAAGAATCTGGGGAATGGTAACCAGGGGAAGGTGGAACGAGTGGGATTGCTTAGCTTTTTGGTGGGCGTAAACAGGTCATCATAGTATGGCAGTTGATACTAGAATTTGGTTCGATGTGTCTTATATTGGACAGGTTGGTTCAATCCCGAGGACTATCAAGTTAGGGACCTTTTGAGTGTTTAAGTGGAAATTGAAACTGAGTCTCAGTCTTTTGTTAAAGAGGAGCCATTGAGGTCAAGGTCACTTGGGAACTATTTCTGGGTAAGTGTCACTTGTGACTTTCTTGAACCTGTGCAGTTAAATTGGAGCATGATCAGAATTACAATGGGTTTTCTAATTAAATTGTGATGGTGAACAACAGTAAAATCAGACAGCGGTATAAATCAAACAGCAATAAAGATGACTAAAATGTTGAATGTTATTAAGCACTGATGGATATTTAATTGGCAATAAATCGTTTTGGTGAAAAATATGAGTGGAATACCGGGAATGGGTGGAAGTGTTGAAAATAGGAAAATCTGGCAATAGTGAAATGGAATAAATAAGCGTAAAAGTCTGCAAATTATATGCTTACTCAATTATTAGTAGTTTTTTTACTTGGTAAAGATGGAGTATTCAGTTCATTTCATTTGTCAAACCGTGAAAAGTAATCTTTAACTTGTAATTTGCAATCTTGTAAACCTTGATCCCTGCTCTGCTGCCAAACCTTGTTTCTTAGCAATTCTTATTTAATACTTCAGATTATTGGTGTTCCATATGCTTTCACATATTAGATGATGTACTTACTCTGTAAATTGGTCAATTGGAAGAATATTGACATGCTTTAAATTGTTTATTTTTGACCTGTTTTTGATTTATTTGTTTCAGAAAAGAAAAAGGAAAGTTAAATGCTTTAATGTTTTGGGCTTAACTCCTTGTCTTCTTTTAAAGGAAATCACAGATTTTGCATGTCCTGTGAAAAGTGGTCTGATGAGTGATACCTGATAAGTGTCACACAGTGTCATGAAAATTTCTATGTTTCCTATCTTTTTGGTTGTATTGACGGCTGGTGTTACTAATACATGCCTCAAAACAAAGGATTTATATGTTTAATACCATATATGACCTTAGATTAACCAACATGAACACCATATATGCTATACATGTCCTTGTTTCTTCCTTTGGTTTTCCCCTAGAGCAGACACTTGTTCCACATGGGGGCCAAAGTTTTGTTGCCTGATATCAGGGGCTCCATGCTGTTCTATCTGTGTATGATGCTTCTAATGTCTAATGTTCTTCATACATGTCCTTCAAAGGTTTAAATTATTGGTTCGATAACCATCTGTGGGCTTTATTTTTAACGGTGTTTGATTATATTTAACCTGCTTATTGGGCATGTTTTATTTTCTAGGGTTCCGCAAGAGACTGTCTCAGGTGCTGGGAATTGTTCCTTACTGAAGTGGGTCACTGGTATGTTTGCTTTTCATATAGCACCTGGAAGGTATCCAGTTAAATTCTGTTCTTCTTAAAATCTTTGCATGTTATTCTTTTGCAATCATATCTTGCAGGTATTTCTTTTAAAAAATCTTTATGGAAGTTGAAGGATTGTAGCTGTCATGTTTCATATCTTCTGGCATGTTATCGGACCCGATTAATTCACCTTGCATTTTAGATAGGAGAATACATTATAACTCTCTACAGCTATACTATCCTTTCATACAAAAATTACGGGGGTCCTTTTGTTTTGGTTCCACCATCTTAGTGTTCTGCAGTAGTGGGTTTAGGTTAAGCTGATTTGGCTATAAGCTATGCAGAAGATAATTTTAGATTATGCAAATGCTATTTTGGGACTCTGTTGACTTTATGTCTTCATCTGAAACCATTGTTCCTTTTTTGAATCCAAAGCCTCTGTAAAACAGAATGTTGAGATGAAAGCCAAATGGGATGAGTTCCACTGTACTGCCCTTGTTCATGGATGTTCTGTTGTCTTGATTCATGGATCTTCTGAACTTTTTTTATGGGAAGTGAAAAATTTGCCATCATGTAATATGGGTAATGTAGGACCAAGGGCGTCTTGGCTCCTAGCTAGGAGTAACATGTGAAGTGAGCATAGAAAGAAAGGGCTGGGTACAACTGAGAACTCTAATTTGGTTAAGATTTAAGAGTTCTAAATAGTTTCTAGTTCCTACAAAGATTAGGATTGCATGGTTCTGAAAGTCTTAATGTCGCCTATATTTAGTCGGAGTGGATGATCAGAGCTAAAGCATGCATAGTTTAGGTCCATGTGGAAGGACTTGGGATGATTAGTGCAATAATCAGGATCTAAAGTTTCATAGTTATCGGGATCTTCCAACATGGGTGGAGATCATGCTCCGGAATCTCATTGCGGTGCTCAGGGAAGGGAGCTTCAAGGGATATCGATTTATAAATTTTGGGATATCGATCCCCACTATTAGGAATCTCGATTCCTATTGTTGGGGATCTTGATCCCAACCTTAAAGACTAAGAAAACAACCGAATTAATGATTTTCTTTATTTTTGGCAACGCAACTATACTTTTAATATAGTTGCGTTTCTTTTTGGTTGTAATTAAGAGATCCCATACTTACCCCAAAAAAAAAACATTAAGAGATTCCTACCTTAATCTTTAAGGTTTGGAGCAAGATCCCCAAAAAGGTTGGGATCCAGATCCCCAAAAGATTGGGATCTCGATCCTTAATATTTGGGGATCTATTTCTCCAACATATGCATTAGTTTTCATGGATTTTTGCATCACATCTTTTGGCAGACCACTTATTGATAGACCTACATTGAAGGGCCCTTTTGAAACTTGATGGCAGACATACAGGCCCCATCATACCCTAGAAGTCTTAGAACGTAGGGATGATGATGCTTCCTAGTTAAAGAGGGGCAACGGATTGAGGATATTCAAGGCCGACAGCTTTGACAGGACTTGGGCATTGTTTGGGGAATCCTCATGTTTGGTGAGGTAGTGCCCTACATTCAAAACCCATTGGGTTTGGAGTCAGTTATGGCCTAAGTCCACTATGGAGTATGTAATAAAGGAGCGCAGTAGAAACATGTGATAACGGATGTGAATGGCCCGGGATTGTGTCCAAATTCAGTTCTAGTTGCTCCCAAGATACCCTCAAAATTCCAGCTTAAAACAATGTCAGAATGATGGGATATTAAGGAAGCAATCCGTAGCGCACCATACACGGGCTCTGTACCATTCGAAAAAGAGAAAAATTACGAAGTAGCCCCCTGGAAATCGGTCTCTGATGGGCCCGGATTCTCACCAACATAATTAGAGGGCCCGATAACCCTAAGCCCCGAATTTCGCTTCATTCCTGGTAGGCCATTTTTACTATAAGGTCAAGGATGTGGCATACTATTCAAGTGTTAATTATCATGTTACTCCCAAAGGGACCGAAGTTAGCCATTTTTGGCAACTTTCCTTGATCTATTTCTCCCAAACCCTGTGGAGTTTGGCGTGTTGCGTTGGCTTTGTCATTCTATGGCTCATGGGCTTTCTGAAAAGGTAAATATTTAGGGTATCTCTCGCCTAAGGTGTTCAATACAGTGAAGTATGTTGGATTTCGTGTCATGCAACTTCTCATATTTCATGACCTCTAGCTGGTTCTTCGGCGATTTCTCTCAATCTGGGAGGGATCTAGTGATGAGATTTGAGGTATTGGAAGTGTAGACTGGTAAGCTTTTGAATGATATATGGAAAGCTACGACCAAAGCTTGGCTTGAGGACCGCTTTGAAGCCAATTTGTGTCTGAAATTTTGAGCATAGATGATTTAATGAAATTTTCAGAAAATAAAGGACCCATAACTTACTCGATATGGGGTTTTTTCAAGCAATTCTTGAGTCGAAATGTTCTTAGGATTGAGCACTACCCTTTTCTGGCCATGGAGTTCCAAAAACCCTACAAAAGCTCTCCGGAAAAAGAAGAAGTGTATGGAAACAGTGCTTTGCTGATTTTTTATTCAAGAAACCCAAAACCTCGCTTTAATCTTGGAGATTTCAGGTCAAATTTGTCACAAAACGTTCATGGTGCGCCAATCTAAGTTTTTCGTGGTGATAGATGTCTTTTTGATGTTGAAACATGAAGAATAAAGGCCCCATAACCTAGGTTTGGGATGGGAGTAGCTTTATGAGGACTTGGAGTTGCATTTTCCACATTTTGGATCCCAAATTTTGGCTTTTTTTAATTTCACAGAGATTCAAAATTAATTCACCCTCTACATGACCAATAGATTTGATCATGCACCTATGTTTGGGTTCGCCTCTATAAAAGGCCTTGAGCGCTCATTTTTACGATCATTGTGTAAGGACTTTTGAGTTATTTTTGCTTAGTTCTTTCCACAAGAACTCTAGTGGGAGAAACTGGAGAGGAAAGCCTAACCTTGGATTAACCAGAGTTAACTTTAACCTCAGTCAACTGAGGTTAAGTCTCTACAACAAAACCCTAACCCTAGGCTAGGCAAATTTATCAAAACGACCTAGGCAACTCAAGTAAAGCCAAATTAACCGATGCATGGAGGCATTTTTCTAGAACAAGAGTAGGGCACGACTCTCCATCCTGGAACAAATAACCAGTGGTTAGTAGGCTTGGCTGCCTTGCCCCCGTTTTGGAGAATTGTTCGCATTTTTCTTCCTCTTTCTTTGTTCAATTGCCAACAGAGTGCGACGGGGCATCTCCCAGTACGACATGAACCAGGTTGTCTACGAGAGCTGCCTACAACTGTTCGGGAGCGTACAAACCCTATTCATGGAGGTAATGTCTTGTCTTGTTCTTGTTTGCCACGTTAATATAAATTTGTTATTGTTGTTAGTTTTGTTTGTACATTTCCTTTATCCGTTATTCTTTGGAGTGACATATATCGCTCACACAAGCACGACTGGCACCCACCAACGAGCATTATACGGGCATCACTACCAACCATTGGTTAAGGTAGCTATTGAGTGAGTTTACCTAGGGTTTGAAGATGTTTGCCTAGGTTTTATGGAAATGTTTGAAAGTTTGATGAATTTGGTTGTAGGGAAGGTTAGACGGGAATGTGCCATATTGACTCACATGCTAGGGAATGCAAAAGGGGGCCCAACCTTACATGGGGAGAACCTCTAATTCACAAGCTAGGATTCTGGAAAATCTTTCCACCAAAAGAAAAAGTGGGCTCCAACCGTTGGGGGGGGGGGGGGGGGGGGACTCTTTCAAACCTAGATGTTTTGCCCAAAAGTGCGCTACATGGAATTTGGGAAGAAAATGTGACTCCAGTCAAACAAAACTATGGAAGCACATATTTTGGGAAGAAACTCACTCTAGATCGAGTAAAAATCGAGAGCTTTCTATTAAAAAGGGTTTGGGAAGAGTACCAGCTCGTTAGCAACTTATTTCATTTACATCCAGCAAAGAATGGAACACCTACGACCCACGATTACACAAAGAAATCCATAGAAAGAAAAAAATCACAACCATGATGCACTGGAATTTCATGTACTCCATATACCTTGTGTATGAGCAAAGGGTGTCATGCTGCTAGTTCTCTCTCTAGAATTCCTCTGAACTTTGGCTTGAAGTTCTTGATTCGATTCTTTCAATTTCTTTGGAAATATGAAGATCATTGTATTTCAGAAGCTTTCTCACACTCTTGGCTTTGAATCAACAAGATTAGGGCTTGGAACGCGTGCTAGACTGATCTCTCTCTTCTCCAACAAAAGGAACCCACTGTATTTGAAGCACCCTTTTATAGAAAGGATAAAGCTTGATTAGCAAGGAAGATCTTCGTGATTTGGAATGTTTCTTGATTCACATATCATGTTTTTGGATTTTTCTTTCTTCCATAACATCAAAGAATTGATTATATGAGATTACGTCCTATTTGAATACGTAATCTTGTGATCCATGGATTAAAAAGTTGAGTTTAGCGAGTTCACCATGAGCGTTTTAAAATGCGAAATGCAGTCGGGGGGCTGATGCGGCAATGTGGTCCAGATGTGGGTGCATCACCCCGATGCGGTCAATAAATATAAAAATATTCCAAGAAATATAAAAAAATAGGTTAATACATGGGAAAAAATATGGAGGTGATTTATGTGATAGTAGGTATTTAATTTAATAATTAACTCTATTATTATCTACTATTGAAGATTCTGTATCCACTATTCCCTGATAGAAGACATTACAAAGTAGAAATGAGAAACTTGAAACTAACTTTATAGAGGACAATAGAACTTAGAAGACATCATATTATCATAATTCATAAACACTGAATCATTGTGGAGGGCTCGTGAGGCTGAAAAAAGGTAATTCGAACCATCAAGTATCTCTTGTTTGGTACATTTATAGCCCTAGTCATGTACTAAACTTGATCACCCATTGCAAGACAGATCTAATAGTTATGGTTGCACCCAAAAATCCTGCTCCATGTATCAAAATATTTGAAGATCAAATCATCAT